TGTTGAAATACATCTCCTACAGCTCATAGTAGCTGTACTTGCCCTATAAAAGTTGCTTGAGCTTGTGGACATTGTCAAATCATTCATTTAGGTGGAACTTAAGCATGGGAGGTTTGTGGATCACAATTTGCATGGGATACAGTTTTTGTAAAGGAACTTTGTATGCCTTTCCCTTTTAATTTGGATTTGTGTACAATACCTGCGGTGCCTACACAGTGCATTGTGCACTTTCTGCGAAAATTTTACTCCAGCATGTATGCACTATATCAATATTGGGGGCCCAATAGACAAAGAATATGAGATCGGGGCAGTGGTGGAAAGCGTTGACTTGCCATCATTAGAGAAGGCCAAACTAGGAGGTAAATCAGCCATGATGCACAAGTATGCACATTACGGCAAGTGCTCCAGCTATCCCCCTTAGCTGTGTAATTATACTATAAGACTCACGAATGTTAAGGAGATGTTTCTGACCCCTGCAAAGGGACCTCAGCTACCAGTTCCAGCAGGGTATCCTAAGGTCCCAGTACACAAGTTATTGAGCTTTGCGTTTCTTCACCACCCCAATGACTAGCATTCAGGGTCAGATTTCCATCACCCCTCAGCTAGGCTCACCTCTTCTTCTGTTCTTGGGTTTAGATATACTTTATTCCCCAAGAGGCCACCAATAGAGCATTTTGGGCCAAGTCCACATCCCACAAGCTCTATCTCTGCATCCAGCACCCTTGGAGGCACAGGGATTGATTTACTACAGGAGTAAAGCATGTTCGCATTGCAAGAGAATTTTCACTTAGCTTAGTGAATACGGTGAAAATTCACTTTGCAAGAAAATACCCAATCACTTGCAAGGAAAATGAAAGAGTAAAAAACAGGTTTGAATGATTGAAGTCAGCACAGCTTCCCCACGTTCACTAAGCTAGGTGGAAATTCCCCTGCAAAGTGAACTCTTTAGTAAATCAACCCCATTGTGCCTGTATCTGCGATATTTTCACTGGTGCACACAATAGTGCAACAGTGTCAAAGGATAACATCTGAATCAGGAACCTCCTTTAGGTATAGATACACTATATTGCCAAAAGTATTGGGACACCCCTCCAAATCATTGGATTCAGGTTTTCCGTGAAATTTCCTTGCTACTAAATATTCCACAGTCAACTGTCAGTGGTATTATGACAAAGTGGAAGCAACTGGGAACAACAGCAACTTAGCCACAAAGTGGTAGGCCACGTAAAATGAGAGAGTGGGTCAGCGCATGCTCAAGCGCGCAGAAGTCGCCAACTGTCTGCAGAGTCAATAGCTACAGACCTCCAAACTTCAGACAGCAAAAGGTTAAATGCAATTCACCCTGGAGCTGTAATGGTAAGCTGCTATTATTCCAGCCCTCGCAGAGTGTTCGCTGCTATCTTGTAATACTGTTCTCTAGCACAATTAAACGTCTTTGCTCGCATATATTCTAGATGATTCAGCAGATGTTCTCTTTTGTCATTATTATGAGTATTAATTGAATATACTCTTGCATCCATTTTCACTCATAGTGCGATCACATACAGAGTTCCCAGCTGTTCCTATATCAGTCTTATTCATTGCAGATGTGCGCTGTACATCCTGGAGAATGCAGTTAGCACTCAGTCATCTCTTTAATTCACATTCCCATACGGTCTGCCTGTGGTGTATGTCATGGCTTGTACATTTCATAGGCTTATGCGGGGTTGTAGTGAGATTCTTACAGGGGTTGAATTAAAAAAAAAGAGCATTATGCTAATCGAATACTCTATAGCAACCATTGCATAATAACCCTTCACTAACATGGCTATAAGAAATTGAAATCTAATTGCACTATATATAACCTGGCTCCATCCAGGTCCACAAAAACAAGCGGATCACAGATGTGTTTTGCAAAACACGATTGTGCCAGATCAGGAGTATGTGCACAGATCCCCTCCTGATCGGACCGTGTGAAAGGCACCAAGAGTCCCGTGCCTTGCTATTGGTCAGTGAGGTGGTCTGTTATCAGTGGTGTCACAAGGGGGGTGCGATCTGCACCAGGTGACACCATCAGAGGGGGTGACACCAAAATGACTAACAGTCTCTGGAAAAGTAGAAAGGTTCTTGTCGCACTTCTTGCTGGAGATCCCATGCAATGGGAAGGGTGCTCGTAATGACTGCGGATGGCATCGCTGTATTCATAAGATACATGTGAAGATGTCACCAGCACACCGAAGATCCTTTAGGAATAACCAAATGCTCATTTTATTGAACAAGTTGTCAGAATGGATATGAGCACTTTCGGGACCTCGCAGGTCAATGCTGAAGCCTGATGAAGGGACCCTGCGAAGTCCCGAAAGCGCATTTATTTATTCTGACAACTTGTTCAATAAAATGAGCATTTGGTGATTCCTAAAGGATCTTCAGTGTGCTGGTGACATCTTTCACATTTACCCCCTCTGAAAAGTCAGGCAATCGTGGACCAAGAACCAACAGCTGCACAAGAGAGGACAGGACCCAGCAGTATACCTTATCCCGCCGGATGAACATCCCATCCCCTCTCTGCCGGCATCCATCACCGAGATGGCCACTGGCAGACACTGGCAGCTAAGTGCATGTGACATCATTACGCACGTGCATGATGACGTCTCCGCGGGTGACACCTGGAGGCCGCATCAGATGACACTTGGCCTGGAGACACCTCTGCCTGTTACAGTAACAGAACTAAAACACTTTAACAATCTTAACTGTGTTTGCAGCTCCTCCAGCAATCATACTACATTACCACTAATGTCTGTGCAATATACAAATGGAAACATGGACCAGACTGAAAACAAGACAGTCTGTAGGGCTGATGAAACCTGTAATGTTAAAGTACAGCTCTGCATCTAAATAAAATATCACTAATCATGTCCCATCTCTCCTACACTAAACTGCAGTAATGGATATTTATATACTCCCCCCAACCCTATATTGAATAAAGATGTATCTAGACTATTAAACTGAGTGCAGTGCTTCAATTTCCAATTCTGCAATTTGACACTACAAACCAAGGAGACAGTGGGAGTTGTCTAGAATGTAGAAGTTGCCTCTCCGTAAGTCAGATCACCTATACGCACTCATATCATAAATGCTTCTTTGCTACTTCTTTGCAGTATCCAAGAAGATTGAGGACATCTTGTGGCAAATAAAAGAAGTACAGAGAGAGTTAGCTCCGGATTGAAGGTCAGTATTGCAGCCTGAGTTGCTTTTTTATTGTGTTGACTGCCCTATGGTCCGCTTTAGCTAAATACAATGGCCAGAGTTGGACGTTAAAGTGGAACTAAAGTTTAAAAAAAATGTGACTTTCAGGCAGGTTCTTTATTGCTATGTCTCTTCTGCAATTAAACAAACATATCTGCCTGTTTGCAACCTTCTTCAGAATATACACATGTGAAGCTGAGTGTACTTTATTGGCACACCTCGGTGCTGGGATAAATGAACTCCCATGTGCATGTAAATGATAACACTATTTCCTGGTCAGCTTTCTCTGTCACCTTACTACTCATTGTACACATCCTGATACACTATCCAAAAAGGAAGCTAAGGGATGACTAAAGTGACAATTTCCCCAACAATCCTGGAGTCATCTTCCTTGTTATACATAGTGACAGTGGTGTGAATCACAAGACTGGATAAGCAGACTTGGGAAATACTTTGAAAGATAAAACATCTCCCCTTTTACGTATTACATCTGTGCAGTTAGCTTCTTGCTTGGAGTTCAGCTTTATGTGGAAGACGCTGAAATCTACAGGCCCCCCCTAACAATCACCAGGGCCCTTCTAATTACAAAGAGCTTCTCTTATGATGCTAAATGAAATTAAAGTAAATGGAAAACATGGCAAGCCTGCCGGTGTTCATAGTAAAACAAGCCTCTGCAATCAAAGACATCACATCTGGTTGCGATTCATCCCCGTATATACCAGGATTCCCCACAATAAGTTCCAGGAATCCCGAAGCACGGGCTCTGTCTATGATTTGGAAGAGTCATGAGGAGAGACAGATTGAGATGTATACATTTAGAGCATTAGATGTCAGGGGTGTGTTTCTGTCCAGACATAAACTGTAATTTTTTCATTCAGATTTTACAGAGCACCAAGCTTAAAGAGACTCTCTCGCAAGAATAAAAACTTCAAACTAAGATCTCCTGATAAAGATAAGACTTACCTTTTTCACCAACCACGCTGCAAATATATGCTCTCACAAAGAGCTAAAGCTTGCTGAAAAATCATGTTTGATCCCCCTCTGCGCTCAATGGTTTGATCCAGCAGCAGGACACAGTAGTGATGTAGGGGCCAGTGGATCAAACCACATTGCTCAACAGGGGACTATAGAGTGTGTCTGATGCTGATGATTCTGCAGCAATTGTAGAAAGCAAAGATTGGCAGTTTGGACTAAAGGACAGGTGAGGATCATTCACATGAGGCGTTTACTTCCGGAGGCAGATTCCTGCCACAAGAATCTGCAGAATCTTGCAGCAGGAATCACAGGTGGCACCGGACAGCTTTAGCCACATTGCCAAAGCATTTGGAAAGATTACCTGCAGTTAGAGACAGATGACTGCCTCTGAATGCAAGTCTTTTCTTTACAGGGAGAGCATATTACAATGTTTTTACTTTAGCTACTGAGTTGCTTTAAAGCCCAAATGAACCAGCATGTTGGCAAGACGGACCCTTCCTCTCTATGTAGAAGCAAAGGTCTCTCTACAGAGGTCCTACAGGCCCCCGATGAGTCAGAGCAAAAACTCTTCTCTCAGCAGGGAGAACCTATTAAAAATATGACTTTTAATGATACATTTTCAGTTTCTAACTTTGCTGGTACTACCCAGCAGAAGAGCGTCAATGGACCTCGGAGAGGACTTTCTTTCTTTCTTTCTTTTCTAATTTGTGAGACAATGTGAGCAATTAAATATACTCTTTTTCTAGAAGCCAGAGTTCTGCATTGAAAAAAAGAATGTGGATGACAGCCCTGGAGCTTGCCATCCTGCCAGGGTCTTTTTAACAGTATCTGTGCTCGCTGAAGCATGGGAGCTGCCGGTGACGACTTTTTTTAAAGTGCAGATTTTGGGGCCGTCATCCTGATCTTGGCTGTTCTTCTTGACCTTGTATGCCACTGACCTGGAACAAGCGTGAAGCAGGTAGTCAGAAAAGTCTGAACACGTTCTGCCTACATGTTGCAGATCTGCAACTTGCTAGACAGTAAGCCCAAGATCAGGATAATGATTTAAAACAGACCATTACTATCAGCTCCTATACTTTGTCTTTGCAGGTTCTCCTTATAGTGGACCTGAACTCAAAAAGCACATTAGGATTGGCGTGTGTGGAATATCTGCTTCCCTACCAGACGCTATAGTTTCTATAGGACATATAAACCAGCAGGAAGATCCACAGCATGCAGGGGGGTCAGGTATTTGACCTTTACTGGCAGCATCCAGGAAGCATGTAAGCCACAGTGTTTCAAGACATGTGCTGGCGAAATAGAAAGGTAAGTATTCACTCATATATTCACTCAGGAGTGCTTTTTTATACTAGTGACCCACGGTCTAAGAAAGTGTCCAAAAAATTGTACCTTTTGTCTTGAGAATAGCAGTGCAATCCCTGTGACTAGGCACTCCTGTTCCCTAGGCTCACAGCTGTATATCTGCAGTGTGAGATCATCTAAGGTACTGTTGCCTCTAACTGCCATTCTCATGGGATCTGGAGTGAGATTTGGAGACATCACCACTGTATTGCTCACTGTTCTACTTGCTGGAGAGAAAGGTGTACCTGAGGACTTGCACTGCAAGGCTCTCCCTGCTTCTGATTTTTCTATTTTCCAACCTCTCCTGCTGCTGCTTGACCATTACCCCAGCAGTTATCACATCCCCAGTCATCATGGGGCAGCTCTAACATGTGAAAGCTAAGCCCTGCCTCTACCAAGATGGCCACTTCCACATTGTGTCAAGGAACATGGCATGGCAAGTCAGTAATGGAGAAAGGATCAGTTGCAGGCTGCTATCTTTTTGCACAGCTTGCCTTTTTTAGGCATAGCATTAGGTCCTCTTTAAGCTTGTCTGTACTCATTACCCATCAGAGCCAGGATCTCTAAAAAGGCAAAAGTGAGCAGTAGGTTCAGGGGCGTGACTAGAAATCACAGGGCCCCATAGCAAAATTTTGTATGGGGCCCCGTGATTGCTAGTTATGCCACTTGCAGAGCCCACCGGAGAGTGACCCTGCAGAGCTCACCATAGACTCTCTATAGTGGCATCTGCAGGGTCTGAGATCTCTTACCTGTCAGCACTGTCCGCCTCTGTGGTCGCCGGGCCCCAACTCCTGTTCCGTCCCCCGGCCCCACCTCCTCTGCTTTCAACGGGGCCCCGCCTCCTCTTACATCACTGGCCCCACCTGCTCTTAGGTCGCTGGCCAGTGATGTAAGAGGAGGCTGGGTTGCTCTTAGGCGGGCCCCTCCTCCTCCTTCTTTCCAAACACCGCTCTCATCTGTCGCAGGGCTGGCTGTCACTGACACAACTCCGCAGCGGCTTTGAGGGGAAATGCGCCGCGGACGCTGCTGAGCTGTGTCAGTGACAGCCAGAACTCTTACATGCCATAGCGGCCCTGGCCGGGCCCCCCTGTGCCCGGGCCCCATAGCGGCCGCCTGGGTCGCTATGGTGATTGTTACGCCACCGAGTAGGTTGATACTGCTGATACAGTTCCGTACAACGTAATGCAAATGACTGTGCTCTGGGGGTAAGCAGAAAACCTTGATGTATACCCACCACCACCTCCCTATAAAACTACATTCGTTCCTCTGAATGGTGTTCTAAGTTAAAAGTGAACTGCTCCACTTATGTTTTAACATAACCTCCAGCAAAGGCAAACAGTTCTTCAGTCTACAAAGTTGTACATTTCAACAAAATGAAATATTTTCTCTTGCTGTGTTCTCAGAACTAAATCCTTCATCTCCCTAATCTTCCTTACTAACTGAATATCACTTTTATCTGCATGAAAATTGTAAGTTATGAGATCATATTGGAAAGATAGCTGTGGATAAGAGCTCCACTTGATGCGGACCAAAAATATAACCTTTAGGTGTCCTTCAGGCTAGGTTTAGATATTGCCGATCCCGAGATGCGCATCCCGGGGGCATTCACGATTGCGCACAGGAATTGCTGCATGACCCCATTGATGTAAAAAAAAAGGTACAACGGCGCTATCTGCCTAGGGCGACTGGGGTGCCATTAGCAAATAATGGCACCGCCAATGTGATCAGCGGTGGTGGCCGATTCCGTAAACGTGCGGCCACGCGTTCACGGATCACCCTAGTGTGAACCTAGCCTTAGGCTTCCATTACAAAAATAGCACCCCGACCTGTTAATCAGAGCCTTTGCCCCACAGAGATCTGGTCCTTCACTGTAGTTGAAAGATAGAATAGGAAATGGGTCAGAAGTTGCTGGCACTGCACCTAATATGTATTTTAGGGGGTCAGAGCTATTTTTGAAACAGAAGCTTTAAAGGTGACCATTGGAGCTGAATTATTAACCTTTTTCTCTAATTTTAAACAAATAATATATTTTGTGGTGCTCTATTGAAAACACGTTGCTGCCCCAGGGACCTTTCAACGTTCCCACCACAGTCATAAAGACACACATTAAGCAGGTGGTTCAAAACTAGTTATACCTGTACCCCAGGGGTACTTCAGACAGGTTCAGGGGACATTTATGGAATGACAGCGGTGATCATTCAACCTGGAAGGGGACCAGCAGTGGATTGCAGAATGGTGAGTCTTTGGGGAGACAGCGCCAGAGATAGGCTGAGTATTGTGCACTGAGGGCTGCTTTTTTATTTTAAAGCTCAACTCCAGTCAGCATTAAAAGTTTAGTTTCATGTGTCCCCATCCCCTCCAAAGTCTAGTGGGGGTGCGCAGAGTAAAAAAGTGACTTACCTTATTCCTTGTTGCAGCCGGCACTCCTCTCTGATGTGTGCTCCCATTATGTGGGCACCCATTACATGCGGGAACTCAATGCCTGCCTTCATGTACAATGCAGGGAGCTGATCCTGCATTGCAAGTGAGGACATCAAGGGCTCATTTATTTACTGCAAGTGGATCAGAAAGAAGTGTCAGCTGCCACAGGAGCAAAGAATAAGGTGATGGTCTTGCATTTTATGTGATGAGATCATAGATGCCACCACTGGTGGAGCAGTAAGTGGGAGCGGCTTCTTTGGACCTATGGGAAAGCCTGCGGAAATGAGAAATAAGGTGAGAATGTTCTCTAGTCCATGCACCCCTAGACTAAATGAATTATGAATGAAGGGTGGGGACACATGAAACTGAAATTGTAATGCTGACTGTACTTCAGCTTTAAATACTGCAAGGCACTGCTTGGGCAGGGCTTTAAAAGTGCCCCCATAGCCTCTCATTATCATTAATAAGAAAAGCAAAAAGAAAAAAGTTTCAAAATATATTTTTTCAGTCACAGGCATTTGTAAAATATAAAATATCACCATTGCACACGGTAGATTAATTACCAAAGAGAGTATCATGTTCAGACTTTATTACCCTGCCCCTGCATGACGGCAACTAGATTCAACTAATACCATATTCACAGACAAGTGAGTTTCCACTGCACAATTCCCAAGCACAGTATGGATTGACTGGCCCAACCAACATGTCTTTATTGATTGTGTCCAAGCTAAGTGCTTTAAATAGCTCTGTAAACCGCAGTTACGCAATTACTATGCATGCAGCGTTACCTAGAAATGCATTTATAATACCCTCTAAATGACACAGCTCATATGATTATAATTCATTTACATTTCATCTATAATTTGAATCATAGTAGATATAAATGAAATGGTGTAGAACCAGCAACACATTGCTTACAGTTGGTAATATTTTAGTATAATTTCCATGGACATGGCCCTTGTGACAGACCGTAGAAGTATTAGTGTCTGCAATAAACTACTCCACTATGGCAATGTGGTTACAATATCTACTGTATAATATTAAATCTTAGCTGTGGCCCCTGCAATTTTTTCAAAAGTACTCTCAAAATCCAATTATAGCATTAGAACACATGGATTATGACCTCAAATGAGATTCAACCTGGAAGAGAACCAGCAGTGGACTGCAGAATGGTGAGTCTTTGGGGAGACAGCGCCAGAGATAGGTTAAGTATTGTGCACTGAGGGCTGCTTTTTTATTTCAAAGCTCAGCAATGAAAGTTTAGTTTCATGTGCCCCCATCCCCTCCAAATAGCAAAAGTTAACATTTGTTAGTCTAGAGGGGGTGTGCAGAGTAAAAAATGACTTACCTTGCTCCTGTTGCTATAGGTTACTATAGCTACTGTATAATATTACATCCTAGCTGTGGCCCCTACAATTTCTTCAAAAGTGCTCCCAAATTCCTGTGAAATTGTAGCATTAGTGCACATGGCTTATGATTTCAAATGAGATTTTCTTTAACCCCCCCCACACACACACACACTATATACTTCATTCACTTTCACTCCCATGGCATGCCATTTAGCACTGGGAGCCAAAAGAACAACCTGCTACTTCCATGTGACAGCGCTGGGCCAATCAGCACGGTCACATAGTCATGTGGTGAGTCCATAGACCAGTGCAACCAAGCTTACACAGGACTTTCCTTCCTCCCTCCCGGCAGCTGAACAGATGGAACAAAAAGGAAGGTAAGTATATGTGTACACAGGCAAAATGCTACAGAAACACATACTGTATAGCTGGTAGGTAATCAAATCAGAAAAGAGCGACAAGCAAATATCTTGCATAGTCCAATAATGTATTTTATTGATCCACGTACAGTATGTTACAAAGTCATCAGAAAGCATCCAACGCATTTCGCGGGCCAAACAGTTTCCCTTCATCAGGGCTTTGACAACAGTCTCAGACGACTTGGACTCTAAATCAGAGCCAGGGGTATTGTGGATGACAGCTTGGAGTCAACCAAGTTAGGCAGCTGTGCAGCATTCCCTTTTGCCCTGACCTGCTCTTCAGAAATAGACAAGGCAAAGAACACAAAACAAAACCCTGCAAGGGTTAACTGCTCGTTTTCATCTAGGAGACAAAATAACAACGTTTTACTCACCTAGGAGCCAGGTGGCTGTTAAACCGGTCCCTGGAGCCTGCCTTCTTCTCTGATCCGGGCGATGGTATGTTTCTTGGTGTCCTGATGTCCTATACACTGTATAGGATGTGATGGCTCATGGAACCTTAGACTGCTGGAGCGCAGGGGGAGAGAAGCTGTAGGGACCATTCTAACAGCCATCCGGCTTGGGCCTTACCATAGTGTTCCTGCATTCACACCAGCATTTTAAATAGGCACTTCAGAATTAAAGAGGTGTTCCAACTTCAGTTATGAAGTAGAAGGCCCATCCACCTGCCAAACCCCACAGTTGATTGGTGGGGTTTCTTCTGTATGAACCTATAGTAATCACCTATTTTAGGGCTGGTGCAGTCCTGGGCAATCTGGGACATGCGTCCCTGGACCGTGCAACCATGTTCAGGTGCACATAGCAGTTGCCGCACGGCCCCATTGATTTCAATAGGGTTACATCCGCGTGGGAATTGCAGAAAAAAGTTACATGTACCTCTTTTCCGCAACACACTACGTGCAGTTGTTTTAGCCACATCGTGTTCCGTTAGAAAATAATGACACCGCCAGCAAGATCGGCAGTGGTGGGCAACTCCGTGACCACACAGCAATCCACGCAGTATCGTGCACGATTGCCGCGTGGTCACGGATCACGCAGGTGTGAACCTGGCCTTAACAACACTGCTCAACAGCTCCCGTAGGAGAGCAGAAAAGGGTCTTCATAGGCACAGACTGTAACACCCGGTGCGGCATACTTTACTACGCTGGGTGACGTCCCCTCTTCTCTCTGCCGGCGTCCATCACCAAGCAGGGCATGCGTGTGATGCCGCTGTTACCTGCCGTCGGGCCATCTTGGTGATGGACGCCGGCAGAGAGAGGAGGGGACGTCACCTGGTGGGTGGGGTAAGGTATGCCGCCGGGTCCCCACCTCTCTCCAACAAATGTCGGGCTCTCGGTACTTGACCGAGTGCCCGACTTTTCAGAGGGGGTTGACACCAAAATGACTGACAGTCATTTTGGTGTCACCCTTCCAATGGTGTCACCCGGGTCAGCCGCACCCCCCTTGTGACGCCACTGCACATCAAACTAATGATATCATTACATTGTAATCTGTAATAGCTCTTATGAGCAGATGAAAGTCGTGTCCTTCGAATTTCTCATAGTGCCATCTCTAGCAACCCCTTAAAATTGTTCCTATTTTTACACCTTATTAACCCTAATTAGTACCGTTTATGTCCCTTTCTCAAATGAAATAAATTAATATGGAAGGGAAAATTACTGCTGAATCAATAAACCAATATAGATGAACTGTAAAAATTGCTCTGCTCCACAGGGGGTGTATGGAAGCGGGAGTTAAAGAGGTTAAAAATCTTTATTGTACCAAATCAATGGTATCAGTCAATGCAAAGCTGTCACTGTAATTACGAGGCTTTTCTCTGTTACTGTTGAGAAAAACAAACTACACACTTTTTACAAGTGGAAAATTGTTATTTCACAGAAAAAAACTATTTTTGGGGGGTAAATTTACACTCTAATTACAGAAACGTCACCAGCACACCAAATCCTTACAGGATCAACATTTGTAGATTTATTGCAAACTCATGTCAGTTACACAAGATAAATCTGCAAATTTTGATCCTATAAGGATTTGGTGTGCTGGTGACGTTTCTGTAATTATCTGTAATTATCTGTATTTGGCGGTGCCATCCGCAGTCATTCCAAGCTTTTATTATAATAGCTATTATGTACTATAAATGTATAAGTACCCAAACTTGTGCATCCATTCATTTAATCCCTGCACATAAGATCTCTGATTGGGAGAAGGAGAGCACCACAAACCAGCCAGGCCATTCTGCTTTCTGGGACTTGCTTACAGGAGGAAGAGCAGTAAGCACACAAATGTCATCATCAGTGTGCTTCTGCTCCCTTATTTTCCAAGCACCAGCCTGTGGCCCTGACCAACCTGTGTTGCTTATCTACAAAAGAGCAAAGGAAGGTCAGTGATTTGGCCGCTATTTTGTAGGGGTTCCTAAATCACAATTTGTTGACAGATAAAACAGTTAATAAATGGAATGATCGTTGTCTCAAAGCTGTCGAAGATGCTTGGCTTTCTTTACAAATAAAGGCCGGGGTGCGAAAATTGTAACTAAAGAACCATGTATGGCCGGTTACAATCGCTGACATTTTACTAAATCTCCCTAATATGTCATGAATAAATAAGATTCACACCTGGAAAGCTACGCAGGGAGCAATTATGAGGTATAGCAAAGCAAATTCAATCTATAATGATAATTATATTGATAACATATGCAGTCTGCTGGGCCTCATCACCAGCTGGCGTCTTATACTGTATATCTACAGGGCTCAGCAATCAGGTCTACCTGGCATATATACCAGGTCTATTACTGTTTATCATGGGAACTTACTGCTACAAAATGGGTGCTGCCACCCCTCCTATTGTACGTTCAATATTATAACACAATATTAAGATTCTACAGGTAGAGTGGTATGCCCCTTGTAGTGACATGGGGAGGTGTTCAGGGCTTGGGGCTCAAATGCAGAGATCACCATCACTAAATTATCTAACAGATAAGAAAGCAACAGTTAGGTGGTTTAACTCGTTAATATCTATCAATAACTATTATCAGTATTGGGTGGACTGATCATTTAATACAAAATGCAAAAATAAATTATTTGGATTTAAAGTAGTATTAAACTTTTTTCATAATAAATCCAAATTATTATTATTATTATTATTAATGAACAGGATTTATATTGCACCAACAGCTTTAGCAACACTTATAATCTAATAAATATACATTACATTGCCCAGCAAAGTATTTCTTTACATTTTATACCAAACACTTACAGTCACCATGTTTGCAAACAGCTCCAACTCTATCTGCATGGCTTCCCTGAACTTCCATTCCAGTACAAGATCACA